CAAGTACAACAGTGATTGGATTTATTATCATACAAGTTGTTGAAAGGCTGACTTTTTGGTTACTAAGTCTCCTCTCCTATAATTTACATTTATTTTTCCGGTCTTTCTGGTCTGGAGGTCATCCTGAGAGTGCTGGGATGGAACTAAGGGGGAAATTGCACCCCACCCTCCCCTTTGCATTGGCATACAGACACCCTAAAACAACAACTTTACGCAGGGTAGCGTTTAAACATCTGCAGCGTGTCATCCAAACGCAATACAGCATTTTCCCACGCCACACACACAGTCACTACACTTTACAGTATACCCCACAAAGCACTTTGAGACGCCTTCTCGACCTGAAAGGTGCTATATCGAATGTATGCACAACAACAACAACTTGCACTTATATAGCGCCTTTCGTGCTCGGACTCGTTCTCGGACTCACTTGAGACGTGAGGGAGAAGGGAATAGAGGGTTTTGAGACATCAACACAGGCATTGTGTGATACTGTGACAAGTTGGGCCCAATGTAACAGTCTATGTGATTCTAGATGATGTGTTAGACCCATTTGAACTCCATTCCAATTTGCTCTTCCAATTGAACTCAGGTTGTGTTGGTATTAAGATTACCCCCTCATTGTGGAGCTCAGCTGAAAGGCCTGAGTGTAAGTGCCTTTTTGACGAGTATTGTGACACTCGCTTCAAAATGTTGTGTAATATCCTGTGGCTAGTAGTTCTGACCTCTCACTCGGTCTCTTCCCTGCTAAAAGCAAAGTTGTTAGTGGGTTTAATCCCATAGCTGCCACCAACCAATCCCAGCTCTTTTGAGGCCCTCAATATGTTCCAACGTGTTCATCACCTAAATGGTGTCCAGACCAGCTTTGCGGTTACGGAGATTGAAAGCCACTTAGAATACAATAATACTCACATAAATCTGATCTGTATAAATCGTAGATCTGCCCAAGTCATAGAATCATGGAATATTACACACAGGAGGCCATTCAGCCCATCGCGCCTATGCCGGCTCTTTGGAAGAACTACCCAATCAGTCCCACTCCCCCGCTCTGTCCCCATATCCTTGCAATTTTTTCCTCTTCAAGGACCTCTTCAATTCTCTTTTGAAAGTTGTTATTGAATAGTTGTTTCCACCATCCTTTCAAGCAGTGCATTCATAACAATTATCTGGGTAAAAAGATTTCTCCTCATTTCCCCTCTGGTTCTTTTGCCAATTATCTTAAACTATGTCCCCTGGTTACCAACTCACCTGCCAGTGGAAACAGTTTCTCCCTTTCTATTCTATCAAAAGCCCTCATAATTTTGAACACCTCTATTAAATCTCCCCTTAACCTTCTCTGCTCTAAGGAGAAGGTTAAGGGGAGATTTAATAGAAGTCCCGTTCTAGATGTTTATTCACAATAAAAATGCAAAATTCACAATAACTCATACTTTGCATAAGTCATATTAAATGTATGGTCCTGATCGCTACAACTTATGTGAGCTTTACCATAATAATAATAATCCTTGCATTTGATGTAGCGCCTTATCACTTCATTGAGAAATCTCAAAGGATATACTGTAAAATGAATTGACTGTATATGGGGGGGGGGGGGGGAGGGGGGGGGCGAAAGGTTTTAATTTCACAGAAAACCAAATAATCTAGAGAGGCTTGGAAAACATACATAAAACACACAGACACACGGTATTGGGAAGAGACAATGCATGCAAAATCCCTGTTAAGAATCCCCTCTGTTTACTGAAGACTCCAATGTAAAAGCTCCTCTCTCTGTCCCTAATGGATATCAAACACAGCTCCCCCCGCCCCCCCCCCCCCTCCTCCCCCACCCCTTTCAGATCTGTGAGAGAAAGCAACAAGACATTGCCAAGACGCTTCTCCGGGTATTTTAATATCCACCTCCCTCTCCTTTTGTCTTCAAGGGAAGCCAACTTAATGATGTTGGTTTTGAAATCTGCAGCCCACCCAAGCAGAGAGATAGACAGACAGAGAGGGATTTTATTCATTCTCTGCCTGGCTGTCCAATTACTTCAAGCAGGCTGGACACCAAGGCACTGTTCTGCCTTGTGTTAAGGTAGTCTTAAAGTGGCCGTGAATCCAATACCTTTTCCCGTTCACATGGCACAATCTTTTATTTGTGGCCAGCCGGGTGTCTGACACACGCAGAAACCCCATCACGACTGTTTGTGGGGACACTGCTGTGCGCAATTGGCTGCCGCGTTTAGCCCACAAATATCCAGTCAATTCACTTTACAGCATATTCTGTGAAGCGCTTTGAGACGTCTCGAAGACGTGAAAAGCGCTACATCAAATGCAAGGATTATTATTATTATTATTATTATCACTTGGAGTATCCAAACCAAACTGTGAATTCCATGCATCCCACCTACGCACGGCATACAGTTAATAATACTTGCATTTGATTCATAGCGCCTTATCACGTCTTTGAGATGTCTCAAAGCGCTTCACAGAAAAAACTGTATAGGAATTGACTGTATGTTTTGTGGGCGAAACGCGGCAGCCAATTGCGCACGGCAGATAGCATCAAAATCATTTTTTTTAAATATACATATTGTGTATGGAATTTCTTTTGATATCAAAACAAGAATTCGACATCACAGCTGAGGTTCAACCAGGACCATGTGGTTGGTGCCCATTGCCAGTGCACAGAGCAATTGTCGGGTTGGTTGGCTGCAAAGTGGTTCAGAAATTAAAGCAAACTTAAGCTAGTTTAAAAGTCTTTTGAGCTTCGATAGATTGATACCGGTCACTGAGAGCAGGCGAATGATATTCCTGCTGAGAACCCAGCTCGTCTCTTAAGGGGGTAATAACATCAGAGAGAGAGAGGGAGAGAGAGAGAGAGAAAAGGAGAGGAAAAGTTCAGAAACGCTGGTTAACCTGTGAACTACAAAAATTCACCCGGCTTCCCCTCAACCTATTATACAATTTAATATAGTAATATGTGATATATATTTATAAATGAATGAAATTGATAAATAGAAGTGCATAGAATTATACGCAGTAATTTAATATAATAGCATATGTTTTAAAGTATATAAAAAATGAATAAAATTGCTGGATATAGGACACAGGTAACATGGTGGGACATGATTTTTTAAGAATCCTTGTATTTGATATCGCGTCTTCGGAACATCCCAAAACGTTTCTTTTTTTTTAAATAAATGATTTGGGTCATTGAGGCATGTGTTTGCAAGCAAATGAGTAAAAGCATATTGTACCACTCTCTCTTCCTCCCTTCTCTCCCTCTCTCCCTCCCTCTCTAGAACCCTTTAACTAGTAAAAAGCTTTAATATTACCAGCAATAGGAAGGAGATCTAAATCTCTTACTGTTGGGTGAAGGATTAGGCAGTGGGTCAGTCAGTCTGTCCACACACTACACACACACTACACACACAGAGAGTCTCTCTGCTGTGAGTAACGAGGGCTCACATTCAGAGGAAAATACAAATCATTTGATGATCTCCCGGAGTAGACAGATGCAGTGTCGTTTTCTTCTCCAATCAAATTCTGTCGCGTTGCCCCCTATTTATAAGCACTTTTTGTGTATATATATATGTATATATTTTTTTAAAAAAAAACAGTTATCACTTCTGGAATCCATCCCCTAGTGTGGGCAAGGTACAGGACTGAGCCCCCCACACAAATCAATCCCCTTTTCCCCAGTTATTTCCGACCCTTAAATCCTCATGGTGATAAATGGGATAGAATACTGTATACAGTGTACACATTCCTGAGGACACACACGCACCCTACATACACAGCTGTGCACTATATATACACACATACACACACACACACACTTGTACACATTCCTGAGGACACACACACACTATATACACAATTGTACATTAGTATATGTATATACACACGCGATATACATAGCTGTACACTATATATATACATACACACACACACTTGTACGCATTCCTGAGGACACACATTATACACACATCTATGCACTATATACGCACACACTTGTACACATTCCTGAGGACACACACACATTATACATACAATTGTACACCAATATATGTGTGTGTGTATATATATATACATACACACACTATATACACAGTTGTACACTAATATATGGATATACACACACCATATACACAGTTGTACACTATATATATACACTCCTTAAGATTTGAAGTCTCCCCCAAGTAAGTGATGGTTTTCCACAATTATATCCAACGGGAGATTTAAAAACAGGTGCAAATGCGGATCGAGTTTACTGTACGGTGGGTAACGAGTCTGTGTTAACCCCCCCAGCACCCCCCCACCCCACCCCAGCCCAGCCCCCCAGCCCCCCCCCCCCAGCCCAGCCCCCCCCCAGCCCAGCCCAGCCCCCCCCCAGCCCCAGCCCCGCCCCAGCCCCCCAGCCCCCCCCCAGCCCACCCCAGCCCCCAGCCCCCCCCAGCCCAGCCCAGCCCCCACCCCCCAGCCCCCCCCCCACCCCCAGCCCCCAGCCCAGCCCCCCAGCCCCCCCAGCCCCCCACCCCCAGCCCCCAGCCCCCACCCCCACCCCCCCCAGCCCCCAGCCCCCCCCAGCCCAGCCCAGCCCCCACCCCCAGCCCCCAGCCCAGCCCCACCCCCCCCCCCACCCCCCCAGCCAGCCCCCCCCACCCCCCACCCCCCCAGCCCCCAGCCCCCCCCCACCAGCCCCCCCACCCCCAGCCCCCCAGCCCCCCCAGCCCCAGCCCCCACCCCCCACCCCCCAGCCCAGCCCCACCCCCCCCCCAGCCCCCCCCCAGCCCCCAGCCCCCCCCCCCCCAGCCCCCCCCCCAGCCCCCAGCCCAGCCCCCCACCAGCCCCCCCCCAGCACCCCCCCCCCCAGCCCCCAGCCCCCCAGCCCCAGCCCAGCCCGCCCCCACCCCCCCCCCAGCCCCCCAGCCCAGCCCAGCCCAGCCCCCCACCCCCCCCCCCCCAGGCCCCCAGCCCCCCAGCCCCCCCCCCCCCAGCCCCCCCCCAGCCCCCAGACTCACGCTGCTGTTCTGGCCGGACCAGTGCACCATGGCCTGGTTATGTGCGGAGTCCCCGGAGAGGGCGAAGATGGTACTGGTCAGCGTCACCTCCTCCCGGCGGGTGTCGGTCCAGGTCCCCTCCTCGGGGTCGGGGTCGGGGACGGGGTCTCCCTTCCCGGGAGGGAACTCTTCCACAAGTCCTCGTCGCCACCGGCTCCCCCGACCCTCCTGAGTGCCCAGAGACAGGGGCTGCCCGGCCCCCCGGGGGGCGCAAAATCCGCAACGCAAGTCGGCGTTAGCGAAACCTCTCCAAGCGGTCAACAGCATCCAGTATGTCCACAGCGCATTCTGCCACCCCGGCATCTTGGCAAACATCGCTCGCAGGGAAGAGGGGATGGGATGGAGGGAGAGATGTAGAGAGAGATACAGAGAGAGAGAGAGGAAATAACACTGCACTTAAAAGTCGTTTCGCCACTGAGGTTCAATTCATTCATTCATTCGTTCATTCGTTCGTTCGTTCATTCATCCCATCCATCCAACTCTTTGGAAGTTGAATGCGACTCTTGGCTGTTTTTTGGGGGATGAGAAGGAAAAGTGCTTCTCACTGATACTGTTCACGTTCAAGGCGGGGGTGGGGGGTGGGGGGTGAGGGGGTGGTTTTGGGGGGGGGGGGGTAAAGGAGGCACCAATGGGGAAGGAGGGAGGGAGTGTGTGTGAGAGAGGGAAGGAAAGAATGTGTGTGTGTGAGAGTGAGAGAGAGAGAGAGAGAGAGAAGAGGGAGTGTGTGTGAGAGATGGAGTGAGAGAGAGGGATGGAGTGAGAGAGAGGGATGGAGTGAGAGAGAGGGATGGAGTGAGAGAGTGTGTGTTTGAGAGAGCGAGGAGAGAGAAAGAGAAAAGAGAGGAAAGGAGAAAGGGAGTGTGTGTGAGAGAGGCTGAGAGTGTGTGTGTGTGTGTGAGTGAGTGAGAGAGAGAGAGAGAGAGAGGAAAGGAGAGAGGGAGGGAGAAAGAGAGAGTGAGGAAAGGAGAGAGGGAGTGAGAAAGAGAGAGTGGGGAAAGGAGAGAGAGTGGGGAAAGGAGAGAGGGAGTGAGAAAGTCAGAGAGGGAGTGTGAGAGAGAGAGAGAGTGAGGAAAGGAGAGAGGGAGTGAGAAAGAGAGAGTGAGGAAAGGAGAGAGGGAGTGAGAAAGAGAGAGTGAGGAAAGGAGAGAGGGAGTGAGTGAGAGAGCGAGAGAGAGAGAGAGTGGGGAAAGGAGGAGAAGGGGGGAATGTGAGAGACAAGAGAGAGGGAGAGAAGGTTTTTTTTAAAAAAAATAAACTGGTTTAGAAGCTGATGGTTGGAGCCACCGACTCTGCTGTAGAGTGTAGCACAACCTGCAATGGTTTACCAAAGGCTTCGTTGTGCTGTTATGTTACACCAGTTGGTGATCACACAGTTCAGAGAGCGACCTGGAGAGAGTGAGTGTCATGTGCATTAAAGGCAGCTCAAACTCTCTCTGTCTCTTTCTCTCTTTCCTTCCTTCCCCCCATCCATCCCTCCCTCCCTCCCTCCCTCTCTGCCTTGTGTGTGTGTGTGTGTGTGTGTTTGTGCTGTTTTCCTGTTGATCAGATGCCTTAACAGCGATGTTACTTTGGAACAGACGTGTCTTTTTTTATATATTAAGCTCACACTGGTCTATTGCAAGGATGGGGCAAGTTTTTAGGGGGTATATATTTTGCGGGGAAGGCAGGGGAGGGGGTGGTGTGGGAAGAAACCGAGAGGGAGGGGAGGACTGGATGGATAAAGTATTCTATATTGCACATTGGAAAGCGCAGTGTGATTGATGATAGCGAGTGAGACGGTTCAGGTATCTCCAGCACAGGAGAGCTCAGATGCATTGGGAGACAAACCCACCCTATCATCCCCCCTTTTCCCTAAAATGTAAGGTGTCTGTGTGTGTTATCCGGCATCAGATTGAAAAAATTGCGAGTTTAATGCGAGGACAAACAGATTTACTGCATACTGCATATATTATTATTCAGTATATTTACAATATAGGGAATAATATTTGCATCTCACGTCGCTCTCGCCTCTCACTCACTCCCAAACTGCTGCAGCAATTAAATAATCTCCAGCCCAAGCGTTATGTCAATATTTAGGGAGGTTTTTTTGCGTGTGGTTGCTGCAAATTTTGCCTCTTTCCTCCCCATCCCACCCCACCCCCCACCCCACCCAACACACACACACACACAAGCAAGAAACAAGCACAAGGCAACCATCTAACCAATACGAAAAAGGGAGCTTAATGGGTTAATGAAGACAAGAAAGGGAGCTCAATGGGTTAATGAAGACAAGAAAGGGAGCTCAATGGGTTAACGAAGACAAGAAAGGGAGCTCAATGGGTTAACGAAGACAAGAAAGGGAGCTTAATGGGTTAATGCCAAGTAGGAGGCATCTCATTGCCAGATAAGAGATGGCACACAAATCTGTATTGATTAATAAGTCATTTACTGTATGCAGTGTGGCTGGGCTGTGTTTCTAATGCCAGATGCTTTCAAACCTGCCTTAGACCTGAATATCTAAACAGCTGAAACTTTATTGCTGGTTTCTCAGTAAAATGGGAAACACCATCGGTCCATTCATCTCCTACCCTCTAGTGGATTAATGTTGCAGTTAGTTCCCAGCGGATATTATTCTCACTATCTCCAGCCCTGGGTTTAAAAAAAAAGCCTTGTATTTGTATGTACTGTCTTAAACATAGCTTCTCCCTCCCCCTTCCCTTTCTGTTGGCTCAACCCAGCAGAATGCAGTAATGTTCCTGTCTTGAAAGTCTTCTTTTGGGGGGTCGGCTGGGTGTCTGACACCCGTGGAAACCCATTACCGCGCTTACCAATCTCCACATCAGACTGAGCATTCCCTGCGTCCCACCTACACATGGAAGTCCCAGAGATAGATTGTTAGGATGGAATGAGAACTCTCTTTCCCTGGAGGAACGCATCCTACTTACAACAACAACAACAAGATTCCATTTATAGAGCGCCTTTCACGTCGGGAGGACGTCCCAAAGCGCTGGACAGTTGGGTCAGGACCCGAGCAGGGGGGAAATGGTCAGGGTGAGGGGAGGGAAGGGAGGGAGCGAGGAGGGGGTAAATGGTCAGGGTGAGGGGAGGGAAGGGAGGAGAGGAGGGGATAGAGAGTTGAGAGGGGAGCTGAAGGCACAGTCAAAGAGAAAGGTCTTGAGACCGGCTTTGAAGGAGGAAAGGGAGGAAGCGGCAAAGGCACTGGGGGATAGAGTTCCAGAGCCTCAGGGCTGAGAGGCTGAAGGCCCGGCTACCGATGGTAGAGCGGTTGGGGCGGGGGATGTGGAGCAGACTGGAGCCAGAGGAACGGAGGGTACGGGTAGGTAGGTAGGGGGATAGTAGGTCGGAGAAGTAGGAGGGAGCAAGGCCGTGAATGGCCTTGTAGGTGAGGATGAGGATCTTGAATTCGATTCTCTGGGGGATGGGGAGCCAGTGGAGGCGAGCGAGGGTGGGAGTGATGTGGTCACGAAGCCTGGTGCGGGACAGTACTGAGTTCTGAATGACCTGCAGCTTGTGGAGGGAGGTGCCGGGAAGGCCGGCGAGGAGAGAGTTCCCATAGTCCAGCCTTGAGGTGACTTACTCAATTCCAGAGAGTATTAGGTGCAGGTTGGCAAGAGCCAAGGCTTGGGGACCCTAGAGTGTGCATTGGAGGTAACTGCTGGAGTCTAACCAGCTAAAACCTTACTTGCTTGGCTCAGGGTTAGGTGAAAGGGTTAATGCCAGGGCCACTGTGTTTCTGATTTATATTTCACTAGCAACCAAATAGCACGCTGGTCAGAGCAATGCTCCAATGTGGAAGCCTTTATTTTCCACGCTAGTATTTTTAAAAGAAAGAGGAAAATGTAAGTATAGTTTGGGACATGACATGCAACTTCCAGGATGGTGGAAGGCAAACTGGATGGACCTTGTTCTATTTTGTCTTGCAAATTCTTATGTTCTTAAAGTCACAACAGACATGGCATAAAAATGAATTGGAAGGGACGATTTTAGTACCTTATGATCTCAACTTTTACATTGCTGAGATGTGGAAGAGAAAATTGACACCTGGTTCAGTCCACCAAACTTGTCTCTTAGCAAATGATACTTGCGGAAACTGGCAGCTTTGCACTCTGTAAGATAATTAATTATGCTTGTGATGTTTTTTTTCCACAGTCACTGAGACTGAAACTGTGTTAGAAATTAAGGACCTAATTCAGCCATATCAATCACGTGAGCCTGGGCCAACAGCTTGTACAATGAATCCCTTCAAAAAAGGTAATAAATAATAATTTTGTCACTCGATCCACAACTGTTTGTGGGACACTGCTGTGAGCAATTGGCTGCCACGTTTCGCCCACAAAATATACAGTGAATTCATTTTGCAGTATATTCTGTGAAGCACCTTTGAGGCATCTCGAAGACGTGATAAGGCACGATAGCAAATGCAAGGATTATTATAGTATACTTATTGTATTAAATGCAACACAATATATTTTCAGTTTACAATTAATCTTTAAGTTGTTTCGTGCTTAATTCTCAACAGTTTTATCAAGGAAAAATCTCATTTAACTTCAATAAATAGGAAACACAATCCGATTTATACAGTCTAATAGACTAGAAAATGCTGTAAGGTTGTTACTTATAATTGATTGCCAGTAACCTATTACCTTCAGACTGCTAAGGCTTAAATGATTTATTTCATTTCCAAGCGGTTATTTATATGAGCTAATCTAATAGAGATACAGTACCACTGTATACAGGGTAATAATTCTCAGGCCAATTGTTAATAGAAGGTTAATGAAAAGTCGGTGATTCAATTTATCTCAAGCCAATGCAGTCTAAATAAAACAGAACTTACAGAAGTAACTGAATATTAGTGAGTGTGTGTGTTGTCAATATGTGAAATGTTAGAAATGTATAGAATAATAGATGCCAGAATGATTGAGGCAATAACATGCACAGTGTTCACAGTAGCTTCTACACAGTATAACACACATGGGAATGATTGCAATGTAGTAATCTAAGCCACATTTAATAGAAAATAATCAATACCTACAATTAGACCGCCATTTAATTGAGACGTTGTGGGGAGCACATTTCCGTCGGTACAGTTATAAGCTCACGCTGCAATGTCAATAACTTTACTGTCACAATTTTGTTTCCTACATGTTATATACAATGGTTAGGACTAAGAGTGACGACAAGGCTTTTGACTGTTGTAATGTCACAACCACATTCACTCACTCGCTGCTGACATCAGTGATGTGTTTACACGTTTGTGCTCTCTCTCCCTGCGTTGTAAATGAGATAAACGTGTCACAGATCGA